GGAAAGAGGAGCCGGCCGCTGGCAGGTGGCTCTCCCTGGTGGCAGCTCGTCTCCCGTGGCAGCTCGTCTCCTGGTGGCAGCTCGTCTCCCTGGTGGCAGCTCGTCTCCCGTGGCTTGCCTCGTGCCACTCCAGGGCTTCCTCCTCCTCCTCCTCCCTCCTGCCCTGCTCCCGGCTAGGGGACGCCTGCTCTTCTCCCTTCTCTTCCCACTTGGTGGTGCCTCTCCCCACCCCCTGACCCCTCTGCCTCTCTCTTTGCTTGTGCCGCCCTGATTCTGCCTGTCGCTGGGAAGGAGAGGATGCGCAGGGAGCGGGAGATGGCTGCGCAGCTGCTAGCGGAAGCCGTGGAGGTGAGCCTGGGGCAGGGAGTTCTCCAGGGGTTGGGCTGGGGGCAGCGAGGCACCTCCAACCCTGCCCGTTCTGCCTGGCCTTCCTTCCTTCCGCAGGACGCCGGCGTGGAGCCCCTGCAGCTGGATTACCGCACCCTGGCAGCACTGCCCAGCAGCGGCCTCCCGAAAGCCACGCGTGGCGTAAGCGCAAGCCTTGGAAGGCGGCTGGGGGCCCCTTTCTCCCTCCCCTGCCAGCCAGTGGGCCGCGTCAGGCCTGCATGGGAGGGGGGAGCTCTTCTGGCTGGAGCAGCTGTCCAAGACCCCGTCTCCCCACTCTGGCCTTGGCAGGTGTGCCGTGCTGCAAGGGAGAGACGGGCACGCTGGCTGGGCTGGGCAAAGAGGGCACCACCCGGGCAGGGAGAGGGGGTGGGCGAGCCCAGGGCTTTCCCCGCTTTGGCAGCCGGAGTGTGGTGGGCTTCTCTCTGTCTCTGACCAGGGAGGGTCTGTCTTGTCTCGTCCAGCAATCCTGCCTTACACAGACAGGGGCCAGCCCGTGAAGCCAGAGGGCCAGCAAGGGGCGCTGCGTCCTGGCCGCGGGCTCCAGAGGTCGGCTCTTGGGATATGTCTTCTTCCCTTTCTGGAAACTCCAGGGGGGGAGAGAGAGAGAGAGAGTGAGAGAGAAAACAAAAGCCAGTCTTGGAAGATTCGGGGAGGGGGGGGGAGGAGGAGTGCTGGGGGGGGTGTGTGTCTGGGGAGGGGCTTCCTTTTCCGGGGATTGCTGGGGAGGGTGTGCCTGGAAACTTGATCTTGGTTCTGGTGCCGGAGTGTGACGGCTGTCCAGGCTGGCTATTTCTGTTCTGGCTGGACAGGGGGCTGGGCGGGGCTGGAGAGGAGAGTCTCCCTTTGTCTGCTGGGGCTGGGAATCGCTCCCTCCCTCCCTCCGTGGAGCCAGGCCCCGGCAGAGCCCTTTTTCTGGCAGGCAGAGGCAGGTAGAGTACAGGGACCGCGAGGCTGGGCGGGATGGGACCGGTGTTGGTTCTGCTGTGGGTTGGCTTCAGCTCCTGCGTCCATCCTTAATGGCTGGAGAGGAGCACCTGTGGCTCCGTGCCCGGGATGCCTCCGCCAATCAGGACTGGAGGAGTTGGCGGAGGGACAGGAGGAGGATAGGATCCTGCCCTGCAGTTGATCCTGGGCTCCCCGGCCCTCCGTGGCCTTGGCCAGCAGCTGTCTCTCTCTTGTAGGGCTTGCCTGTCCCCGCCCGGCCTGCCTGAGGCTGGGGCCCTTGTGCCTGCCGGTGTGTGTGGCCTTCCCCAGGGGGACGACTGAAGCGCCCTCAAGGAGGGAGGGGGGGCGCCCTTTGTCTCTCAGCAGCCAGGCTTGTTCTCTGGGCAACGCGGCCTTGGCCGCCTGACCTCCGCTTCCTCCTCCTCCTCCTCCTCCTCCTCTTTAGCTTCCTTGTTGTGAAATGGAAGGGGACTCCCAGGAGGTGCTCCCTGCGCCAGAGACTTGTGTCCCCCACCACACCCCCACCTCGAACCCAGGCCCAACGAGCAGCGTAGCCCTCTCGGCAAGTGGGGTTTCCCTCGTGGGGCAGCCCGGCGAGGATCCTGCCCCCGGCCGGGAGGAGGCGGAGGCAGAGGAGAGCCTGGTGGACTCCCAGCCCATCCCCTTCAGCGCCAACCCCTTTGTCGTGGCCAACCGGCAGGGCAGAGCCAGCGGGAAGGCGTGCTTGGGGGGCCCTCCCCTCGGCTACGGCCAGGGCGGAGTCCTGCGGACCAGTCTCTACGCCAAGGCAAGCGGCTCGGCCTGCTGCGTGGGGTGGCGCTGCATGCCATTAACGTGCTGGATCTGGAGTCTTGCTACTGACCAGGCCGGAGAGAGGGGGGGCTGGGTGTTCTTGCGCTGGGGCTGGAGCTTTGTCCCCTGTGTTGCCTGCCCCTGTGCGCGCGCGTGTGCATCTGTGGCCGTGCATGCCTGGGACTGGGGCAGGAGCCCTGCAGAGCGGGCGTGGGGGTCAGCTGTTCCTGTGACCTGGAGGAGTGTGTGGCTTCAAACGGGCCTCTGTCCCTCAGAGGGGAGGGGGCGGCAGAGGAGTCGTGAGATCTCTGACCTCTCGCTCCTGGCCCTCTGGGCACCTGACTGCTCTGACCTCTGGGATCTCCGCTTCTGTCCTTGCCCACGTTCTTCCTGAGCAGTGAGCTGCTCCTCCCTCCTCAGAAAGAGGGGTGCTCTGGATCCCAGGGGAGGACGGCGAGGGATTGAGGGGGGGGGGCTTTGGGACTGGGCTGCCCCGCCAGAGGGCTTTGAAGGCTGCCGTGGGGCGGTGCCAGGTCAGGGGTGTGGTTGGCTGGAATTTTGCCTTCCCCGAGAGGGAGGTGGGGGGGGGGGGGGGTGGCCCCCCAGCCCCCACCAGCGCCTCTCCTCCTGGTGCCCTCCGGGCTTTGGTTTGGTGCACCTTGGAAGTCGGTGGGGCCAGGAGGTGTCTTTACAGGCAGGGCTCCCGTCTGGCCACGGGGGAGCTGGTTGGTTGTGCAGATTTCGTAAAGGTTGCCTTGGCGGCGGCCCCCCCACCATGAGTGACTGAAGGGGTGTCTGCAAGGAGATATTTCCCAGCAGTATCTTCATCTGAAAAGACTTCCTTTCAAATGTCACTTCTGACCGAAAGACTGAGGAGTGGTGCATGACTTCCCCCCCCCCCCGATACATC